TTTTCTTGTGTTTCTTGTGAATTTGGTCTTAAATTTTTATTTCAAGTGGCATTAAAAAGTCTTAAAAAGTCTTGAATTTAACTTGCCTTATGCTGTAGGAACCCTGTTCTAAGTCCCGCCCCCCCGCCAAGAGGACAGCGGACTCAAACCACAACAGAAAAATGTAAAACTAAGAGGTAGTTTTTAAATAATTCTTTTAACTTTCAAGTCTTTTTCAAGTTTAAACATAAAATACTTTAGAAAAACCAGTTTAGTACATCCAAACGGGATTCAGATCTGGGTCCACCGAACCAGAGCTAAAGACCTAAACCTCGACGCCACGGAGGACCAAGATGGATCTGGAGTGTTGAATCCATTTCGGGATTTTAATCATTTATTTGAGCTGTACTCTTTTCAAGATGGCGATGTTGATTCAGTTCAATTCAATTCAATTCAAAAATACTTAATTTATCCCAAAAGGAAATAAAACGTTGCAATAACTGATACTTTATTTTTTTAAAGATGTTGTAGGTGTTGATAGCTGTAAGCAGGAAGGATCCGATGCTGATTTGAGGTATTTTTTTAAACCAGACCAACGGGAATAAATTAAATTATCTGATCTATGACAAATATTTCCATCTGCTTGTATTTGGATCATCCGCGGTTGATCGGATCTGGAACCGGTCCGATCCAGATTCTCATCACTGTTCTGTTGGAAGGACCAGTTGTGTCCCAGTTTAGAGGCAGCAGGACCACTGGCACCATAACGACCCTCAGCATGATTCTCCCTCCATCGTGTTTGGATAGAAGCCTGAACTCATCCTGTTTCTGTTTCCCTGGCAGGCTAACGGCGGCTGGCCCGATGCTCCCACCCCCTCCTCAGTGACTTCCCCCACAGAAGGACCCGGAAGCGTTCACTCCGACACCTCCAACTGATCCCCCCCCCACCCACCATCATCACCGCCCCTCCAGTCTTTGAAATCCCCCACCCATCCTGCAGGACTGGATGCGATCTGAGGCAGTTGGGGGTCTGGAGACGATGCTTCCACCATCAAGGACAACATTTGTTTTCTTTTTCGGTCTGAGGGGGGGGCTCATGTCTGGACTTCACAGTTTGTACATTTTCCACTCGATGTCCAAGTTTGCTTCCTGTTAGGAGCTCTGAGTCAGCAGCTGAAAGCCGGACGTCCTTTTTCATCAAACACACTACCTCTGCTTTCAGTTCCAGCTCAGCAGACGTTTCAGATGCTTCCCTCTTATCGACATTTAGAGCTGCATCCCCTCTCCTAAAGGTCCGTTCTGGTTCCCCCGTCAGGTTTGTGTTTTTCAGTGGTGCCAAAGTTCAGCCCTGGATGGGAATTTGGGGTTTGTGTCTTTACAACAATTCCAGTCTGAGTTACTTTCTATAGCACCGATTCCTCTGGAGCTTCTTCCACATTTTGTCGGGTTGCAGCCATAAACCTCACCCTAGTTTATTAAGGTTGGGTTTTTATGTGCAATAGTGCAAAACTAGCAAGAGCATGTCCTGATGCATCTTAATCCAGTAGAAAAAAGTGATGCACTATATATCAACGTCCATGTTGGTCATTTTTAAGCATATCGGTATCGCTCTGAGAGGTCAAACTGGCAACGTTTAATTCCATGCAGTTGTTGTTTTGGTTTCAGGGGGTCATGTTTATGTGTTAAGCAGATACTTTTATCCAAAGCGATTTAC